TCCCGGTCCCCATCCCGGTCCTGGTTCCAATCCCGACCCCTGGGCCCGGCCTGACCGCAGCTCTTTGCAGGCGAAGGCGACACCGAAGTGACCCCAGAGCTGCTCCCCCCCCGAGATGCTCCAGAGGAATCAAACCCTCAAACGCACCGGTTTGCCCTCAAATGACGGAACACCCCCCACCCTGCTCGCGAGGCTCCCGGAGGAGGCGCAGCCCCGGGCTGGGTGAGGGTCTCAGATCTATATTTATTAAAAAAAAAAAAAAAAAGAATTCTGATCAAAATGCTTCAGCTTATTTTATTGATGGGCTCGGCCCACGCTCTGGGCTCTCTCCCCACGTTCCACCTGCCCCGGGGGAGCTGTTCCTGGCAGGAGGAATGTCAGGAGCATCTTTGGTCCTTTGTGTTCACACGGAGAACAACAAACAGGCGGGTCTGACCCGGCAGCAAAGGGGGTGAAGGAGCCGACCCGGGTCCGGCTCCCTCTTGCTTCAGGAAGGCTGGTTGGTGCCACAGGGACACAGCCCGGATCCATGTCCCAAGGCAGAGCTGGAGCCGTGCTCCAGAACCCATCCCTGCCCAGATCTATGTCCCAAGGCAGAGCTGGAGCCGTGCTCCAGAACCCATCCCTGTCCTTGGAGCAGCTCTGGGGCTCCTGGCGCTTGTGCTTGACGACAGCATTAATGGAGAAGCTCGTTGGGATGTGGGGGGTCCTGGGGGTTTAAGGCCATGGCATTCCAGGGGGTCTTCCCAAAGGACTCCCGTGGGTCTGGGCTGTGACATCCCGGGAGCACCAGGCAGGCAGGGTCCCACCCCATCCCGGCTCCACGGGGTCCCATCGGCCACAGACTCGAGGTCCCCAAAGACACTTGGAGAGAGGGATATAAAACCCACCACAGTGATGAGGTCTGAGGGCTCCAGGCTGGGAATTCTCAGCTGGTCTAGGGAGAGCTTTGGGGTTGGATTCTGTACATTCGCAGGTCAGGATGTAAAAACACAAAAACCCAAAACACTCCCAAAACTGGGAGCCTGAAACCACCCAGGGCTCTCAGGAAGCTCTTCCCTTCCTCACTCATCAAAAGCATTTCCAGGGCTGGAGCAGGGATCTCTCTGGATGCAGAACAGGCCTGGGGTGTTGGGAAGAGCACATGGAACATGGGCAGAGGTAGGTGTGCGTGAGCCGAGGCCCCGGATCTGCCCGGCTTGTTCCCAAATTAATCATCTCCAGCAGAAAAACCAAGCTGGGCCAGGAAGGGGTGGGGGGAATTGAGCTTCTTAATGCACTTTGGAGAGGGGAAGTGGAGCTGGAGAGCACAGAGAGCTCCCAGGGAGGGCAGCGGGAACGCAGCTCCTGTGACTCCAGCGTGTGGCCAAGGAATCCCATCCCTGGGACAGAGGCAGCACAACGGCAGGAGTTGTGCCCAGTTAAGGCAGCGTTTCTACTAAATGAGGTTCCCAAACCACAACTGTCTCCAAACACACAGGGCTCCACTCCCCATCCAATTCTGGCACTGTTGGCTCTGCTGGTCCTCAGCTCACGGCTCCTCTGGGATAAAGCCCTTCCCGAGGTGTGGATGCTGGGTCCCCTCAGCACAGCCCCTTCCTGGTGGAGCCCCTTCCTGGTTCTGAGAGGAGCTGGGAGATGGCTGGAGAAGGCAATTCGATATGAATGAGATGCTGAAAAAGGTCCTTGGAGCAGCAGCTTGGCAGGAAGCCGAGGCAGGGGGAGCTCTGGAAGGCAAGGGCAGCAGGAATGTCGCTTCCAGCGTCACCATCACCTCAGCTGCCCAGAGGCACGTGCTGGGGCTGCCGCTGCAGGAGCCCTCGGGGTGGTGCTCCTGGATCCAAGGGGATCCCGCGGATCCGAGTGCTGTGCCCAGCAAAGCGCCGCTGGCTCAGACCTCCCTGTGCCTGAGCACGACCCCAAATCCCCGTCACGGGCCCCTGTCCTGTGTCACCTGCTGGATGTGGCGGCTGCGCACCAGGTGCTGGGCGCCCTCGGCCACCCCGCTCAGCCGCGTGTCCAGCGCGCTCCGCAAGTCGTTCACCTTCACGTCGGGAACGGGGTCCAGGCCAATCAGGACCCCCCCGGCCCCCCGTGCATCCTCTTCCTCCTCCTCCTCCTCCTCCTCCTCTTCCTCCTGGTCGGGAGGCAGCAGGTCCCGTCTCCTCCGGCGCAGGTCCAGGCCCACCTGCAGCTTCAGGTCCCGGTTGGGTTTGATGTCACGCTCCGGCTGCGGATCCCGGGGAGCGACCGCTCCGTTCTCAGCCTTCGGGGCCGGAGCATCCTCGGGGCCGGGTTTCCTGTCGGCGCCGTTAGAGGGACCCCCGCCCCCACCGCCCTGTTGGCCCCGCGGCTCCTCCCGGGGATCCTCCTCCTTCCCGTGCCCGTGGCCGGGCGGGTCCCACTGCCGCCCGAGCGCGCCCGCGGCTCCCTCAGCCTCCGCCCCTCTCCGCTGCTCCCGGGGGTGCTGCTCCCTTGCTGCCACATTCCTGTTACTGGAAGAGTCCGGCGCCACTGCCAGGTCCTTGGGCTCCACCTGACTCACAGCTTTGGCTTTAAGGTCTATTCCTGAGTCTCTTTCCAAACTCCTTCCTGCTACTCCCTGAACTTTGGCAGCCCTCGGCTGTTCTCTTTGGATGGGAGCTGTTGCTGCTTCCACGGGTTTCAGGAAATTCTTCTTCTCGTGGACGTCTCTTCCAGCTTTGGCTTCATGATCTCCTCCCAAATCCTCCGCCAAGGGCTTCTTCTCCAGGTGGTTTCTGGCTGCTGGAAGGCGCTGGGCATCCCCATGGACGGGATCCCGGTTCTCCGCAGGATTCCTAACAGCTCTGTCATTCTCCTGCGGCAGCACCTTCCGCTCCTTGGGAGGAGCCCCAGGAATGTCTCGCCTGTGCCCAGGCTCCTCCAGCCTCCCCACAGTGTCCCTGTGCTGCTCAGTGGCCCCGGGGGGTTGCCGGCCTGGGCGCTGCTCGGGCTGCTCCGGCAGCTCCTTGCTCGGCAGCTTCCCGGCCGTGTCTCCCTTGGCTCCCAGGCCCTCGTCCTCCCTGCTCCTGGAGAGGGGCACAGCAGGATCTGGCTGAGCTTCCACTGTGGGACAAAACCAACATGGAAAAGGGTTTTCTTAGAAGATTCCCTGCTCCTGACAGCACATTTTGTATGACAGGAGACGAGGCCACACCCACCCATGGCCACACGGGAGGATGAGGAGAGCCCTGGGGTGTTATCCCTGTGCTCAAGGATGCCTTGGAGGCCAGGAATGGCTTTGCAGTGGGCTCTGCCATGTGCCAAAAGGAATTGGATCTCTCTCAGCCTGACTTTAGAGCTGCTCTGAGCAGTGAGCACCCTGGGGAGGGGTCCTGCTCCCTGGCCGTGTCCTTACCTGGCTTTGGCTTCTCCTCTGCCCCGTCCTCCTGCCGCTGCTGGTGGATCTCCTTGTGCTGCTCCTCGATCACCGCCAGCAGCTTTGCCTGCTGGTCCAGGAGCTGCTTGTGCTGCACCTGCTGCTCCTTGATCACCTGCAGCAGCACGTTGTGGTCCAGCAGTTTTGCTGGTCCGGCTTCTGGAAAAGGAGAAAGAGAGGAAATAAAACCTCAGTGACCCAAAGCCCTCAGAAATCGCTCGAGGGACTGTGGGGGCTCTCCTTGCAGGAAGATCTGACTCCACAAACCCAGAAGGGAGGGAAGGAAGCTGGAGGAGGATGGGATGAGGGGGAGCACGTGAGTCTGAGCTCAGACTCCAAGCACCCTTGCCAGGCAGAGGTCAAAGAGAGGAGCTCAGCCTGAGGAAGGGTTTGCTGCACCAGCTCCGAGGCTCCAGGATGGAGCAGCTGGGGTTTGGGGGGACTGTGGCCTTAAGACACCATCCTGCTGCAGAGAGGGATCCCAGGGAATCCTGGCTGTGCCCCCTCCCCACATGCCTGGGGACACACACTCACCCCCCAGCTTGCTCTCCACATTCTCCTGTTTCTCCTCGGTGTTCCGGTTCTCCAGCAGATCTGCTCTGTCCGGGAGGGGCAGCTCCTGCTTTTCACCTGCAAAGGACGGCAGAGCTTTGCTGTCAGTGCAGATGTTCCCCAAATCTCCTCCGTGTCCCTCCCCGCCCACCCGGCACCGTTCGGATCCAGCGCGGCGGCTGCGAGGGAAGTAATAAACCCAATATTTAACAACCTCCTGGCTGGTGGCAGCGTGCCAGCACTAACTACCTCGGCCAATTAACATGCAGGAACAGCTCTAACTGGCTTTTAGACGGGCACTTGGCAATGTGTTCCCTGTCAGGATCTCCCGGCTCCGTGTCCCCGGTGATTTGGGAGCCGTGCAGGAACAGCACGGCACCTGACATTTTGGCGGGTAGCGAACAACTGTTTGACAGCTCTTACAGTAGCTGTCAAAGCCACCAGATTCCTCCTTTCCCACAGCAGCTGCCGGAGGGGCTGTGCACGCTCACGTGCTCGTCTCGTGGAATTAAAAGGAAACACTGGGACGGAGTTGGGAATGACCAAATTGTCCCGTCCCCGGGGGGATAACGGGCCCAGAGGAGTGCGCTCAGATGAGCCGCTGTGGAAGGAGCTTACCAGGCTCTGCTTCCTTCTCCACAGGCTTCCTGGCCTCCTCTGCTCTCCTGGGGAGCTGGAGCTGGGCCTTGTCCCGGTCACCCGCGGCCTCAGCGGTGTCACCATCCGGCACAGCAGCCTGTTCCTTGGCTTCCAGCACTGCTTTCCCTGGCTCCAGCTCCTTGTAGGGCGGCCTGCCATCCCCACCATCCCGCTGCACCACCGCCTCCAGGACCTTCTCCGGCTTCTGGACGGGCCCAGCAGTCCCTCCCCGCTGCTGGTTCTCAGCAACCGCTTCCTTCCCTTGTTTTGGGCCCGGTGCCTCCTTCTGGGGGTTCAGCCTGGCTGGCTCCTCCAGCAGGCGGCCGTTGGCTCCTCCGGGAGCAGCCTTGTTCTCGCTGGATTCCTCCCGCTCCCGCCCCATGTCCACGACCACCTCGTCGTGTGGGACTGGGGGCTCGTGGCGATGAGCCTCCCCCACGGGCAGGGCAATCCCTGGGGGGACAGGCAGGGTTAGGGGCTGCAGAGCAAGAGGCACCAGGCTCCCAGTCCACCCAGTCCACCCAGCTTTCTGCTGCCCTTGCTCATTCCTGTCGTTCCTCCCTGTCCAGAGGCCGCGTACCCAACGAGCCTCCAGAGCACCAAATACTAAATCACCTTCAGCCCTCAAAGTCCACCGTGAATGTGGGGTGAAGAGAGGAAGGAGCAGAGACAGGATTTATATCTGAAATAGTCCTAAAACACACACACCCCCAGCTCCCAGCCCGGGTCCCTTTCCCAGGCTCCCCGTTACCTTGATCGGGACGGTCCAGCTGCACTTTCTCCTCTGCTTTTCCTCTCTCCTCCTCCCTCTTGGGCACCTGCATGGGCACCTTGATCTGTGGCTGCTCCATCTCCTTCTCCTCCAGCAGTTTGGGTTTATCGCGGTCATCCTCGGGCTCCTCCACTGCCGGGTTCTGCTCTGCAAACACGGGATGGGGACAGGGATGAGGTGTGGGATCCTGGGAACTGCCATCCATGTCTGTCCCAACCCCCTCACCCACCCAGCCCAGCCGCTGGTTTCCCTCCAGATTTAGTGCAGGGGGGAGGTGACAGGGGGGGCTTTTGTTCCGGGGTCACCTGGTTTTTTTCCCTGCAGTGGGTTTTTATGGAGCTGCTGGCAGGGAAGCATGGCCGGGATGGAGCCGGGATGGAGCCGGGATGGAGCTGGGATGGAGCCGGCTGCCACTGCGAGCCAGTGCCACCAGATGGTAGCATCCCCACGGCTCCCTGCCCTGGACCTCCAGCACCGGGAGAGACCGAGCTGGGATCCAGCCTCGGACAGACACCCCCAACACCAGAACCTGAGCTGGGATCCAGCCTCAGACCTCCAGCTCCCAGAGAAGCCAAGCTGGGGGCCAACCCTGGTTCCCCCCCACACTGCTGTTTTCTGCAAAGCACCTTAAAACCTCTTTTATTTTGATTTTTCTCCCCTATTTTTTCTCCCTTTTTTAGCAGCCCTTCTGATGCCGCTCAGAGGAGGGGTGGGAGGGAGGGGAGGTTTCCTTTTCCCACAGAAGTTTTGACGAGTGGGATTAAACAGGCATTAATTAGGGGAAACTCCTGAGGGAGATGGGGGACTCCCCCTTCTCTCCTTCAAAGAAATGGGAAGACACAACCCAGTCAAACCAGTTACTGGTTCAGTGCCAGTGTGACCAGCGTATTCCACAAGGAATCCATGGCACATCCCATGGGATGGGAAGGGTCCTTTCCTCCCCCAGCGTGGCAGAAAACCCACACAGGGAGTGAACTCTTCCTTCACAGAGCAGCCAAGGAGGAAATCAAATTGTTTCCCAGCACTGAAGTTGTTCTGCAGATTTTTTTCCATCCAACAAACTTAAAAAAAAAAAAAAAAAGTATCTTCTGTAACAAAAAAAAATTCCCAACTCTTTCCCCCTTTGCCCTCCCCCGTGCAATTTCCTTTGGGGAATTAATTCTATAAACATCTTTCCATATTCTCCTCCCCCTCCGCAGGGCTGGTGCGATTTATTACGAGATGAACTCATGGGAAAGATGGGATTGCCACAACTTCAGCTGCGTGGGCCTTGCCCGAGCTGGGGGGGGGAAACAACAAAAATTCCCCCCAAATTAAGTACAAACTCCTGGCCCAGAGGGATCCATGCCAGCAGGACCTTGAGCCTCTCCAGAAACCCGGACTGCGTCCCGGAGCTCCACACCCAGCCGAGGGACGTGCGTGGGGCTGGCTGGCTTTCCACGTTCCTTTGCTTCAGGAATGATGGTGGGAGGGGAAAAGGGCTTGGATTTTCTGAGAAATTCGAGTCTAGTACCCAAGGGTCCCCCCTCTCCATTGAGGGACTTCCCAGGGTTCAGCAAGTCAGGGCAGGACACTCCTCCTTTTCAGGAAAAACTGGGCTGCAGGAACCAGTGCCCAGCCCTGGCCGGGGGCCCTGGGAAGCGGGAGGCCGAGGCCGGGGAGGGGAGGCTCGGCACGGCTGCGGATGTTCCCAGCTCAGGCCTGGCCTCGGCGCAAGAAACTATTTACTCTGCTGGAGGAAAGTTTGTCGTTAATTGGTTCATGGAGGCGGGAGATGGCTCCGGTTGGAGAGGACCAGAGGATCCAGAGAAACCCGACACGGACACGGCCGTTCCCATGGCAGAGGGAATGAGGAGCCGAGGCAGCAAGATGATGTTCAAGGGGGAAATAAACAGGAAGGAGGGGGAAACAAATAGGGAGAGGGGAAGAAATAAGAAGGAAAAAGGCAGGAAGTTTTCCATGCAAGCAGGAAACAGAGGAGTTAATCCCAGCACTCCCCTTTGCCCAGAGGACCCCGCAGTGGGTGAACCCCCCGTGGGCCCAGGGCAGCCCGAGGGGCCAGGGGAGGCCCCGCTCAGCTCTGGGAGTGTCCCTGACAGCTCCCATCATAAATCAAGCAGAGGCACGTTCCCTGCTCTGCAAACAATGCAGGAAAAGCCCAAAACACAAACAAAACCCAAAAGTCTCCACGCCGCAATAAGGCCAAGCTGCCTCTAAGCCGTCATTTGCTCAGTGGGAAGCAAAATTAAGTTCATCATCAGGGCGTGAATTAACGACCTCTCAGGCTGCCTGGAAATCCATCCAGGGCTCCGGGTGGTTTGCAGGGAGCAGTTTTGCTCGGGATGTGCAATAATGGCTCTGCCTGTCTCGTCGCCCTCCCGGTCCCTCCGGAGCGTCTTCCAGTAACGCTGCACCTCGTCATGTTTTATGAGCAGCCTTGGACTTTACAGGGAAGGGCTGAGAGGCTGTAAAAGCCTTTTGGCTCCCAAGGAGAGGCCGGGGCGCGAGGCAGCAGCGGGAGGCTCCGCTCTGACCCCCCGGCTCTCTGGCAGCTCCGCTCACACGAGGGGAAGCCGGGGCGTCCTGCAGCTGATTTGTGCGTGTGCGTGTCTGGGTGTGTTGTGGTTTGCCAGCAGCCTCTCCAGGCTGCCATAAAATTTCATGATTAGCAACCTAAAAGCTTCCCTTCTCCCCCAGCTCCCGGTTCAGATCGCAGCAACGGTCCCAGGCAGGCACTAAATCCCTCCTCACATGTTTCTTCAGCCTCTTGTCCGCTGCAGCAACGGCCAGAGCTGAAATGTGTGTCCACAGCCCCTGTCCTGGGCAGAGGCAGCGGGATGGGCCCTGCTGTGCTCCCCCCAGTCCAAGGGGACCTGCCCAAAGGAGTGGAGGAGCCTTAGGGACAGCACAGGGAGCTTGGGGACACACCACTCGCTCCGGAGCATCAGCCGAGGGCTGACCAGGGACACGGGGTGCAGGACCTGCTCGTGCCAGCCCAGCTCCGGGCCCACTTAAATTCCTTCACCGCCGTGTCATGGAGCAAGGTCCAGGGGCTCGTGCCAAGGAAAATGAAGCAGAACAAGCAGGGCAGAGGGACGGGGGCAAACGCTGCCCTCGGACGTGCCGAGTGCCTGGAGCAGGGCAGGGACAGGCCCTCCCTGGGGAGCCCCCGGCCCAGCTGCGCCTCCAGGAGCCCTCCCTCCCCCCAAACGGGTACAGATTTCACAAGGTTATGGAATGGCATCCCTGAAATTAGTTCACAGTTGTCTCCTGACGCACCAGCAGTAAAAACCAACCCAAATTACCAGAGGCTGCTGGTTCCTTTTCTGTGTCACAGGCACTATTAAAAGCTCTCTTGCACAAAGCACCAGGGAGAGCCGCCACGGAGCCAAGCTGTTCCTGCAGCTACCAGGATGCAGGATCCACGTTCCACACATCTCCGGGGCTGCTCCGGCTGGGAATGCCAGCGGGGACACAGCCTGGGTCGGGCAGATTGGTTTTTCGTGGGCAAACACACGGATGCAGGGGTGGAGGAGCCCTCAGCATCGCCAAGCCAAACACAGCCCCCAGTTTTACCCAAACCCAGGTAACACAGCCCTCCCCATCCCGCAGGACGCCGGGATGGCCCGAGCAGGGTGCCCAGAGCACCGGGGAAAGGGCTCTTGCACAAGGAGCCTGAATCAGGGCTTTGTTACCCAACGTTGCACAACGTCAGGGAGAAGATGAAGCAGCAACGACCAAGTAAGGAGCTGAAAAATATTACAAAATCTTAATCCCCCCCGAGACCCTCGAGGGTGCTTTAAATACGGAGAGAAATTGCCTAATTAGCTCTTCTTTTTTTTTTTTTTTTTTTAAATGGATAATTGCCTTCCTGAGCTTTCAGAGGCAGCTTAGCAACCTTTTAGCAGAGGCGCAGCCGCGGCAGGACGGGGCTGGAAGGGGTTTTATCCCTTTCCCGAAGAGCTGCTGACAGTAAAACCTCCAGCACCACAGGCTGGGGCTGTAATGGGCACTTGGGTGTCGTTAGGAAAAACACGATTCCGAGGCCGCTGGTCAATACGTGTTCACATAAAAGGCCAATGTTCTAATATTCATAATCCCCGGGCCCACGGGGCAGGGCTTTAATGAAAGTCTCTCCAGTTCTGGGCTCCACAACATCAAAGAGGCCAATAAAACTCCTCTCACACGCTGACAGGCGGGAGGCAGGCGGGGAAGGCAGCGCTGGGGAAAGGCCCCGAGGCTTGCCTGGGATGGGGCGGCGCTGGGAAGGGGCACGAGGCACCCTGTGCCCTGGGGAAGGGGCACGAGGCACCCTCCACCTTGGGAAGGGGCCTGGAGCACCCACCACTGGTGCCCAGGGAGAGGCCGTGTGATCCCGCTGAACCCCCGGGTGCGGAGCGGGGCCCATCCGGAGGGCACCCAGGTGCCGGGGGCGGCCCAGCCCGGATCCTGCGCCCCTGGAACGACAGGATGCAGCTGCTGCGGCGCGTTCCAGGCGGCAGCTCCTGCTCTGCAAAACAAGGCGGGCGAGGACGAGGGGGAGCCGCGGGGGGGATGAAGGGCACCATTTAACGCCTCTCATTGCTAGTCAAGCCGACATCCTGCAGAGCCACAGGGAGGCACAGATCCAAGGAATCGCAGCGGCGGCTCTCCCGGGGCAGCCCCACGTCCACCCTGCAGCTCCTTGATCCCTCTCCTCTGCCCAGCCACATCTCCCCCCTCGTCCTCATCCCAGGGGATGGAGCCCTTCAGTCCCCCACTGCCAAAGGGACCGCGGGGGCAGCCGAGCTTTCCCTCCTCAGCGCATTCGGAGCCGCACGGCTCCTCCCTGGGAAGTTTATGACCCGGGAGCACCGAACCCGCCTCCCTCCCCGGTGGGATTATTTAATCCAGCAGCACTAAGAGCCGATGCCGGCGGGCTCCGGGATCGCTCGGGTGATCAGAGCCTGGCATCCCGCTCTGCCGCCCCGGCTCACACCGAGAAGGGGGGAAGACTCAGCAAACTCCTGCGGACACCGTGTTTTATGGGATTTTTTATTTTCCCAGTCAGAACACGTGTCATTAGCGATTCCTCCTGAAAGGAGCAGCTGTTCTTTGGCCATTACTGCTCCAAAATTAACCAAGACAGAAGAATTCAATCGCATCCCTCCTCCCGGCCCTGCTGAGGGCTCCATTAAGGGATTGGGAGCTTCTTTTGCTTAGAGCTCACCAGCACCCACGTGCCTGGGAAGGCACACGCGGCCTTGAGCAAGCCACGAGCAAACCACAAGTAAACTCCACCGCAGAGCAACCCCGGAGTGAATGTTATCGGCGGCAGCACCGGTGTGGGAGACACTCCAAGCTGCCGGGCAGGAACCCGGCCAAGAACCAGGAGGGAGGATAATCTCCCGAAGAGCCGGCCCCTTTCTCCCTTCCGCTCTCAATCTCCGCGAGGATATTTCAAGGCCTCCAAAGAACAAAAAAAAAAAAAAAAAAGAGCCCCACAGGAGCAGGAGGAAACAAAACTGAGGCGAAGGAACAGGACGCGGCGGGGCCGAGGGGCAGCGCGGGGTCAGGCGGCACCTGCGCGGCCTCGCTCCGGAGCAGCTGGGAAAGGGAGGAGCGGCCGTAATTCCATCAGCGGCCCCAGCAAACAAATAATAAATAACAGGAACCAGTAAACAAAGCTGAGGCATAATCACAGCCTTTGTCAGGGCGAAAGCGAAGTCCAAATTTATATTCCTCGGCACCGAAAAAAAAAAAGGCAGTTCCCATAAATTCCCGTACCTTCGAGGGTGATGGATGGCTGGTTCCTGGGCTGGCAGAGGGGGGAAGGCAGCCCCCTTTGGCCACGAGCCCCCCAGCCAGGTGGGCACTGTGCTCACAGAGTCACTGGGATCATCCCAAACAGGGATCTCTGCTCTGTCCCCACAGAGGATCCCAGCCCCTGCACCCCACCTTCCCTTTCTGAAAAAACAACTCCCAGAAGGTACCATTGGAGGTCACAGCGGGCTTTTCCAGCAGTCAAAACTGCAGCTTTTCTTGGGAAAAGGCCCCAGGAAGCTGGGAAGATGCAAAGAGATGCCTGGAAATGACCCTGCTTCTGCCACACTTAAAAAAATAACTATTTTCCCTCTTTTTAAGAAGTGGAGCTGGGAGCAGGTCTGGGAAACCCAACTCCAGCAGACACATACCTGGGATTTTGACTGAATCCTGGTCGATTCTGCTCTCCTCTCTGTCCAGGTGCTCCAAGCCCACTGCTTCTGTCCTCATAGGGGTGTCCTCGGTGGCAGACAGGGTGGTGTATGTGCTGATCACCAGCATTCCCAGCCCAATCCACAGGATGATCTGCACAAAGTGCCAGAGGGACAGTTAGCACAGTAAAACCACCAAACAATTCCCAGCTCAGTGCAATGACATGTGTCAGTAAGAGGGAGAGAAGAGGAGAGAAATTTAGGAGGAAAACAGGGAAACCAGTAGCTTTTGTCTGAGGTTTGTATTTGGGTGCAGAGCCATGGGAATGGGAATTTGGGATGCTGAAAGCTGTTGGAAAGGCAACTCCTGCATTGGAAGGGCTCAAAAGCGAGCAGAGAGGATGTAGGGAGAGGAAAATGCATGTGGCAGACATGAGTCCAGCTGCAAAGGCTCATTCCCTGGTATTTCCAGTATGAGAACTCCATGAAATCGAGTCTGGCTGAGCAGAGAGGTGCCCAGCCTGGTTACAGACCCAAAATGTTCCAGGGAGCTGCTCAGAAATCCTTGGTTTGGAAAGGCAGAGTAAAATGTCCACACACGAGTGCTGATGGCCAGAGCTCAAGAAGCTGCTGAGAAGTGACTCCCTCATTTCCAGAAAGCTGGGATCAAGCAGGATAAAAATAGAAGGATGGAATCTGGATCCTATGGAGAGAAGGGCTCTAGGAATTTCTCTACCTCAAAAAGGAGAAAGTGATGGGCAGCAAAAGGAATTTCTACAGCTTGTTATCTGATGACAAATTGATCTACAAGGATCTAATTCCACATGACTCCTAAGAAGTGTAGGATGGGGCTCAGAGCAACCTGCTCTAGTGGAAGGTGTCCCTGCCCATGGAAAGGGATGGAACTGGATGAGCTTTAAAGTCCCTCCAGCCCAAACCATTCCACGATTCCATGACTCATCCTCTTCCCCCCAAATCCTCGCCCTGCAGCATCTACATCCCAACTCACAAAAAGCACAACAAAAAGATGCTTCTCAGCATGAGGAAAACCAGGAACAGCCACGGGGAGCCTTTCTACCACTGGAAGCTGCCAGAAAACTGAAAATCAAGGGGAGAGGTGAAATTGGAAGGAGAAATTAAAACATTGGCACTTCCAGAGGGGGAGGAGAGGCTGATGCTTTCCTCACCCGCCTCGTGCTGAGGGAGGTCGCCCAGAAACACGGGCCAGCGTGGTCAGAGTCGGGCCCAGGAGACCCCAGAGAGCCCGTTCCCAGCACACCCCGCAGACAGACGGACGCCTTCGGAAGGAAAAGGCTGGCGGGATGTGGAGCAGCTCTGGATCAGGGGCAGCGTGGCCAGGGAGCAGAGGCCAGACCTTCGAGCCACTGCAGAGGAAACAGGAGCAGAATGTGCTGCCTGCCTTGCCCGGGGGTGCACAAAGAGCAGAAATCCTGCCATCCACCCCTCGGGCCAAACGCTGAGTCAGCAGGTCCTGCTCTGCTGCCCTGGGCTGGAGCTGCTCCACTTCCTCCCCTCACACAATCCACAGCCCCGGCACAAATGCATTTTGTGCCTGGGAGGCTGTTCTGGCACCTTCCAGAAACAACAGCGGAGAGGAAGAGCGTTTCCACAAAGAGGATCTATTCTGGTGCCACAGGAACCAGGAGCAACGTGGGAGAGAAGGGAACTGTAGGAAACGGCTGAAAACATTAAATGCTTTAAAAGGATTTTTGTTGTTTCTTATCTTAGTGGGGAACCAGGGCCTCGAATGCCTCGGATTGAAGCCCCTTTGATTGTTCCACATTTGGAGTTCAGCTGTGAGCTCCCGGAGCAGCGGGTACGGGCACACGTGGCAGTCAGAGACAGGCTGGGCTGTCCCTGAGCCATCCCAGTTCCCCCCAGCAGCCCCCTCCTCCTCCTCACCTACCCCCTCTCCAACTGAAGACCAGAATAAAGAGGTCCATGATTTGGCTTAATTCCATGGAGATGCTTATGACATGGAAAAGCAGGAGGTTTGTGCTCAGGAGACCACCAAGGCAATGGAAGGAACGGGAATGAGGGCTGCAAGGACTCGGGGCTCAAGGAATCATGGACCCCCACTTATCCAGAGATCCTGGAGCAAGGGGAAGGACAGCACTGCAGAGCAGTTTTGATCTAGTGTCCATGGGAAGGATGTCCCCCAGACCCAGAGATCCCACCAAGAGCAGAGACCCTCCTCCAGAAGCCCCTGTCAGCATGGACACAAGAGGCAGTGGCTGCCCCTGGGGCTGCAGCCTGTTCCACCAGGCAGGTCAGCAGGGCCAGGGCCCATCTCCCGGGAGCCTCGGATGGGAATTCAGGAGAGGAAGTTTACGCGGCCGTTTCCTCGGCCGGTCGCGCTCCCCCGGCCGTCCTTCCTCCCAGAAGATAACTCCAGCTCTGCACAGCAGAGCCATTAGCTCAGCCCTTGTCCTCCAGCAAACACTGCATTTGTGTGGTGTGACACCATCCATGGACACGGAGCGTTCCGAGGGATGGAGTCATGGTGAAGGAATGCAGAGCCCCGGTCACGGCCGGGTCCCTCCACAGCCACGCTGTGTTTGGGGGGCTGGACCCCTCAGTGTGTTGGTGGGGAAGGAGTGCTGGCCCCTGCACTGCCAGGGGAGGGCACAGGGAATCTCTTTTCCACCCGCTCAGGAGCAAGCCTGAGGAGTCACTTCCTGACCTCTGGCAGCTCCTCTTCCCCAACTGGGACAACTCTGGCCTCCCTAGGAGGGGCCTCTCAGACACGCTTGTGTCAACACTGGGAAGGCAACACCTTCCTGTTGGCAGTTCCACACTCTGTTCACAGACCCCCACGCGCCCTTCAGCAGCCTCAGCCAAACCCGGGGCCCCCGGGGGGCAGCGGGACCAGACCTTTACAGGAACAGATGCTTAACCACAAGAAAGGGAACACTCTCCCTGTTTCACTCACAGGCTTTTTAACTGCTCTGGGACCTGCCTTTCCGACCCAACCCTTCCAACCAGGACACTTCCAGCCCAACCCAGCCAGGCAGCAGCTCTGATAATTCACAGTTCCCTGGCAGAAGCTCTTTGCTGGCCAGCAAACATCTGGGACTGCCCATATCCCTCCTCCCGGAATCCTCTTCTCTACTTTTAGTACAACATCCCCATTTCGTAGCCTCAGTTTGCACCATCTCCTGAAAAAACCTGCCCTCCCATGTCACCACCCTGTAGCCTCCTGACACCAGACTGGATGCCAAAGGTGGCTCGATAAAAGCAGCCAGTTCTCAGCACCACAAGAGTCAAGATAACCCAGACAAGTGTAAAAGCTGGCATTGAGAAGATCTGCTGCTCTGAAGGGAGCTAAAGACGGTGGAGGGAAGGAGGGAAAACATTGTTTGGAGAGGGAGGGACAGCTGTGCCCAGGGCTGGCTCCTCTCCCCCCCAACAGCCACCTTCCTCAGGAGCAGACATTGATGGAGTGGAGCACCTGATCAAAGAAAAGCAGGAATGAAGGAGGAGACCAAAGACAGAGCTCCAGGGAAAGAATAAATGAGCCTTTGCAAAGACCTGGAGGAAGGAGGAGAGGGTAGGCTCCAAATTGGGCTGTGGAGGTGGGGAGGTGCTGAGCAGGTGTGTCCTTGCTCAGAGCAGGAATGCAAACCTGACAGGCAATGGATCATTCAGGGAAGGTTGGACAGCCCCTCGAGAGGTAACCCGGGGCCTGATGCTTTAGATAAGCCCTTCCTTTGTGAGGATTTCTGCAGGACAAACATCTCCCTCAGCCTCGTGACCAGCGTTTGGGGTCAGGCTTTGTGAGGGCCCCAGTGTCCCACCCCAGGGCTGAGAGCTCAGCCTGTCCTGAGTGCAGCCTCGAGGCACTGCAGAGAAACACTCTGGCTCAGCCGGAATAGAAAGCAATTCTTGAAAGTGCTCTTTGTTTCCCTGAAAAACCCAGGCTGGCATTCAGACTCCTGCTCGGGGTTTCACTCAAAGAACTTCGGAGCTAAGTGTCAGAATTCAGAGTGAAAGCTGGAAAGTTGGACTATTTCCTTGTGTCAGGGAAAGCACGGGGAAGAAAAAAAAAAAACACACCCTGCTTAAAAACTTCACGTAGGTTTGCAAAGCCACAAGTCATTAAGCACAGAACAAGCCACCAGTTCTGTGGGCCCCACAAAAACGTGCTGCTCTCCCTTGCTGACTCCACACTTTGCCCAAAACCTTGGGCAGCCCAGCACTGTCCTCTCTGGGAACGCTGGGACAGAGGCCTGCAAAAAGTGAGTGGATTAAATTATTGTTAGGGAAAAAAAAACCCCAAAACCTGTTAATTTCAGCCCACGGTATTTGCAGGAGCAGAGAGATCAAGCCCAGCAAAAAGCCACTTTGTTTTGGTCCCTGAGGAGGCCAATTCAAACCGGAGCAAAAGGAAAAGTTAAACTTCTAACAGCCTCTGAACAACCCCAGTCCCTCAGAAAATCAATTCCTGAAGCAACACCTCTATGTGTGTGTTCCTTTTTATTATTACTTTGGTTGAAAGCAGAAGGCTGAGGGTCGGCAGCGGGAACCGCATCGCAGAGAAGCCCTGTTTGTTTTACCCAGCCCGGGCAGGTCGGCATGTGAGGCTTTAAGGTTTTACAGCCTGCCTGGATTTCCTGTTCTGAGGATCCAGAACCTGAATCCCACCAGAAGGAGGACTAGAAGCAGCATTTTATGCACCAAATCAATGTTTCACTTGCTGCTGGAGGAAGAAAAAGAGCTGGTGTTCCAGGCCATGCACTGGGCCACCACCTCTGCCGCTGTCCCTAAGTGACAGACACCCGACCAGAACAGCTCCCACCTGTACTGGGCAGACTGGAGGGGGAGGCTGCAGGAGGTGTTGAGCAGTTTCCCTGCTGCAGCCAAAAGAACCATGTTCCCAGGCTCTGCAGAGGGCTTAGGGGGATGTCAAGCAGCATCAGCACTGACCTGTGAACAAAGCGCATTCTTGTGGATCTTCTTGTAAATAAGAGCCGGGCAGATGAAACAAATGAGGCTTCCCATGGTCGCACCTGTCAGGCCCAGGACTGTCTCCACTGGGAAAGAAGAGGAGAAGTCAGCAGAGGTCTCTTCCAGAAGTGCCAGAGCAGCAGCACGGGGTGGCTGTCGGAGCCCTGGGGCAGGACGGGCTGTGAGCCCGGTCACCCCAGCCAGGAAAGCAAATAAGAGGGAGCAAAGAAAACAGCCAGCCCTGGTCCCCAGCTGCTCACTCACCATTTGGGATCATGATGCCTCCAACCATGGTTCCAAACACTACAGCCAGCGTCAGGGCTTTGAACCGGAGCGGGGGCATGTAACCCCCAGCAGCGAAGGTGCCATCCTTCTGCTGGGAGAGAAGGGTGGGAGGCAGTTAGGGAAGGGGGGAGTTCAGCTCCTGCATCACAGCCCCCAGCAATTCCCCAGCTCCTGAGCAATTCCCCCACTTCCTCAGCAATCCCTCAGCAGACTCCAGAGCTCCATCACCCCCACACTCTGCCCTCCACAGAGGTGAATGCTGGAGGCAGTCAGACACGGCTGAGCAGTTCTAAGGTGCATTTGAACCTCTAAACCAGGGCAGGGGATGTGGGGCTACAGCTGCTGTTTCCAGCACACCCCAAATGTGACCCCACACAGCTGTGCCCCAGTCCCAGTGCAGGGACTCGGAGAGCAGCCAAGGCCAAGAGCAGGAGGAGGGAGCACAGGGAGCAGCAGGAGGGAGAACAGTCACAGGGGGAAGAGTTCTGGCTTTGCTAGGGAGAGGTGTCTCCCAACACCTGGGGGAGCAGGGCCATTCCCACCATACTACACCACAGGAACAGCCCCTCAACTGGGAGGAGGACACCCCAGGGAGACAGCAGGGAAGGATGAGTGCTGCTGGAGGGCTTCCAGATGCCCTCTGCTTCCCACCCCACCCCATCCCATCCCCACACTCCAAGTGGGAGGTGTGGAAGGCAGAGGCCCCAGTGTGCCCTGCAGACCCAGTCGGTCCCAGCTCTGCTGCTGCACAGATGGAGAGGAAGGCAAAGTGACACCTTCAAGCCTAAAGAGCCACGAGCTGAGCCCAGGCGAGATCCAAAGTGTTCCCAAGTGTTTCCAGCGCTTCCTCCCCTGCACCCGCTGGCTCTCACCAACTGTCTGCCCCCATCCTCGGGCCCTCCCGACGTGAGAAAAGAGCTGGGGGCTTCTCACAGGCAGAAGTGGCAGGATTTAGAGCTATAAATTGCTCAAGTTTTATTTCCTGCCCTAAGAGGTTTCTATTTATGCGGATACACAAAGGCCTCAGAACATTCCCACAATCTCTTACTGTATTTGCTGAATCCCATCGGCGCGTTCCGCGCCGCACAATGCACAGAGGAGAACACGCCACCGCCACAAGGGACTCACAGTCTCCAGCAGACAGACCAGCTACAGTCACAAAGGCTGGCTGAGGAGCTGGCCCTGGGAAAGGTGGAATGTGTGGGAGAGGGCTGTATCCCATATCCCACTGCCCGCCTCCGCACTGGGCCGGCACCGCGGCCCAGGAGGCGCTGGAGGAAGGGAACATCCGAACCCGGAGGGGACAGGGCTGCTGACAAAGGTGCAGGGTGAGAATAATGGAGCAGGAATGAGCAGGCACACATGGAAGCAACAAGAAATGGGGCTGGGCTGGGCTCTGAGGCCGGGAACAGGAGCTGGAGCTCAATGCAAAGTGAGTTGGCCAGCAAAAGGACGGCAGCTGGAGCAGCAGGAAATGAGGAGGCTCCACTGCTTCCAAAAGCACATTTCTCCCTCTTTCTGAGGGGGGGAACCACTTTGGCTCTGAGCTGTGTAACACGTCTGTGCCAGAGCTGGAATCCCCAGCGGAGCAGGGAGCAGCAGCCATGGGATGTGGACTTCAGCCTGGGAACTCCAGCCCTTCTGCCCATGGAATTCCTCCGAGGACATGAACCTCTAAGTCCCAGGGATTAACCATTCTGCAGAGCAGGATTTAGAGATGGCCACAGGCCCCTGCTGCACTGTCACCACACACAGGGCACTGAGGATCTTATGGGAGCTGGGGGTTTGTCCCATTGGACAGCAAGCACCTGCCCCACGCCACTGTCACCAGAGCCTCACAGAACCAAGAGAGGTTTGGGACCCACTCAGAGCACAGGGGTCACAAAGAACCTTTCAAAAAGCAAGTTTCACATCGAGGCAGCCCTGGCCATGCAGGGATCTTACCTGCTGCTCAAAGAGCAGGGTGTTCAGTGCCTGTCTGCAGGGCAGGATCATCATTGGGAACCCCACCGCCACCGACATCATGAATCCCACTCGGATCATCTCCGTCACCAGGTTGGAAGGGAAGTTCATGAGGACATTCCCAGCAATGGCTTCGGTGTAACTCACATAGCCAAAGAAGCCCACCTGGGGAGGGGAGAGGGTGGGCTGGACTCCAAAGCACTTCACACGTGCTCCTTATGGAAGTGGGGAGGACAGTGACCTCCCATTGGAGCAGCCAGGTGGGAGCACGGGGTCTCCTCCATGGGAAACCTGCCAACCTGCCAGCAGCCCCAAAAGCTGGGACAGGTGGTTAATGAACAGTGGCACCTGCCTAAAAGCAAGTTTCTCACAAACACAAGGGGTTTCCTGGAGGACACACTCTCCTTGCTGCCAGGCTCATGGATTGTCCCTCTCCAATGGAGGGGTTGTCATGATTCCCTGTAGCAGCCTGGCTCATGGGCCAGAGCTCTCCTCAAGAATAATTAACCCACTTTTATTAATTGCTGCCTTATGAGGCATAACTTCCTTCACAACAGGCTGAAAAAAGCTCTCCCAAACTCTGGGAAGCATCCCCAGCTCCAGGCTGGGCCTGGCAAGAGCTGGGCCTCCACTCTGCCTCCACCCAAGGAAAACGTGCCATGCTGAAAATTTGGACTCTCCCAAAGGCCCCTGTGCTGTCGGGTTCATCACCTCCCAGATAACTCTGCTTTCAGCACGACGACTTATCTGTCAGAATAAATACAGATAAGCAGAAACCAGCCCTGGCTGTAGATAACTCCTCGTCCCTCTGGCCCCTCCAGATTTCTGGCAAGGGAAGAGAAGGGGAAGTTCCTACCGTGATGTAAAAGGTGGTGACCACGTTTAGGGAAGAAGCAAATATGGAGCTCATGATTTTGACAGACGGTTCATCCAAGCTGTCATAGGTAGGCAAGACCTGACTGTAGAAAAGGGGAAATTATTTAAGGAAACCTGCAGAAAAAGAGAGAAAACCCTCATTTCCAGCCCGTTCCCTGCCTCAGCCCAGCAGCAACGAATCCCTGACACCTTCCCGCTCTGGAGCATAAACACCCACTGCTATTCCACAATTTATACTGCTAATGCCAAGAGATTTCAGAACACTCATAACTTTTAAGTGTTGCAAAAATATTCCTGCTCTCCCCACCCCACCACGTGGAGCGAAACGTGTGATGTAAACATTGGGGTTCGGAAAGGGCTGCAAAATGAATGACCGTTTGTTCCCGGGAACGCGGGTGGCTCCGGGCCAGCCCCAGCGCCGGAGATTATTGTTCTTGGAGCTCTCCGTGCTGATAATTAAAGCAACACAGTGTTTACAGAGGAAAAGCGGGAAGAAGGTTGGAGCATCCCCCTGTCTAAAGGCAAAGTTAAACAAACAGAACGGAACGCAGTGCCTGCCCTACTTCAGCTCTGCTCACAGAAAGCCAGGAGCGCCGATTCCCGGGATTTGGGGTATTTACAGCCTTGGAAAGCGTGAGGAATGTCCTTTTCTGACATCAGGTGCATATTTTAGCAACTCATTAACCTCTTGTTACTTTAATTCAAGTGGCTACATCCTGGCTTCATGTTACCGAAGGAACTCTAGGGAGAAGCGAGGGGAGCCTGCAGGGAGATGGGAAGGGGTATCCCCGGCTCCAGTGGGCAGGAAGCCATTCCCAGAGAAGTGTGTCAGGGTGAGGACAAGCAGAAGGATCCTTAACCCTTAATCCCTGAACATCAAATGGGTCTGCACAAAGGAGGCTGAGCATGTCAGCTCCAGGACCCACAGGGGCTGCAGTTACTGGTCGGGATCAAGGATGGCTTTCCCGGGAGTCTCTCCATTTGGGATTCTTCCCTGCCCTCACCACAGCCATTACATTACTGACTACATCCCAAACTTCTGCCCCCCCGAGGGGAAGGGTCCAGCCAAACATCCAGGTTGGAAGCATGGAGGCTCTGCAGGGGGTGGGATGGTTAAAAAGATGATTCAGAGGTTAGCCAAATTAAATCTACATAGCTGAGAATACACAGACAGATAAAATATATATAAAGACAGAAATAAAACATATATATATGGATAGAATATATAAAGAAATAAAACACATACATATATATATATATATGAAATATTGCCTGGGCTGGGGACAGTGTATTTTCCTGATGCTTGCTAAAAAACACCCAGCTTTAGGTTGGGTTTGCCACATAAGTGCTGCCACGGAGCCTTTATTTAGGTCCACACACACTGGTCCAGACCAAACCATTTCCCTGCATTTCCAGCTCCCAGGAAAATTCTGCTGGGTACTACTGCGTGGATACCATAAGGAAAAAAAAAAAAAAAGACATTTGTTAACAAGGTAGAGCTGCAGGAGAACACAATTCTCTTTGCCAGTTGTGATGGAGACATTAAACAGCAAGCCTGGAGCCGGGGTAGGATCCGAGCTGCCAAGAGAGCCAGTAAGTGGAAAATGATGATTTGGATCTTGCAGTGGGTGTAAACACAGCAGCCTGAGCAAATTTTATCTGTCACATTCATTTACTGTTGGCATGAGACTCGTTTGCTGGAACTACAGGGGGGAAGCCCAGTTCTGCCAGGCTTCCAAAGGAGGATGGTCCTCCCAGAGGAGGCCAATCCTTCCTGTGTCCAGGGCTGGATTTACACCGTTTGGAGCTGTCACAATTCTGGCCAGGCATGTAGTGCTCATGTGCCATTTCGGTGCAGGAGGGAATGCTGCTGGAAACATGGAATAGCCTGGTCTGTCCCCACCTTCTTCCACTTGTCAGCACAAACCCTGCTAAAAACAGGGAACTGTATATAGCCTGGTCTGCTCTCACCTCCTTCCACGTGCCACTAAAAACAGGGAACTGGAAATGCAGGAACAACCCTCCAAAGCCAACAACTGTGCCATCTTCTGAGTGTTCTCCAATGAATTTGAGGCAGCAGAGAAGCCCCCAGTGTTCACTGCCCTGGGGGGGACCCTGCAGCCATGGGGTGACACTGCTGCCTTTCCTGGTGCTACGTTGCTCCCTTCAAGAACCGGGGGAATTTCATCCCTCGTGCAGCTGCACCAGAAGCCCCGTGTGTCACACTGAGGAGCTGTTTGTCCCAAGCAGTCTCCTGTTGCTCAGCTACAATAACTCCCAGGTGAAATGTAACTCTCTCCCCGTCTCGGTAACAAAAGGGTCACGACTGAATGAGAGCCTGAACTTCAGTGGGCTGTAAAATACTCTGATGAAAATAAAACACCAAACCAGATGGTATCTATCCCTTGCAGATCCTCCTGACCCTCTGCCCTCACAGAAACTCACTGCAGGAACAACTGCCAGGGGTGGGAATGGCAGGTACTTACGACTGACAGGCAAAAGACATTCCAAAGATGGGGATGCAGCGGAAAATGCCCTCCCAGCGCGTGTAACTCACTCGCTGCAGCCACTGCCCGCTGAAGAGCCCATGCTTGAAGGACGACAGCACAATCTGCAGCCAAGGGAGAGAGCAGGGGTGAGGGTCCAGCCCCAAACAGCTCCATGGCAGCAGGAATGCTGGGGCTGGGATAAGAGGCAGTGTGTGGCAGCTCTGCCAGGAGCAGCCCCACAGCCCCAGCTCCCATCCCACCTACTGAGCTCCAAGGGCCACCAAGGATCCCAGGGAGGATTTTAAAGGATCTGTGACATTCCCCCTTCTTTGACACCATCAGACATCACAGCACACATCAGAGTGGGACAATTTCCACTGACACATTTAACTGTGAGAATTATTGTTCAAAGCAGCCTCTTCTGCACGTTTTTTAATGTGTTTTTAAATCCAAACGGGAAGTGACGGTGGCCTTGGAGGATCCTGCTCAGCAGAGACAAAGGATCCCAAAACAGGATCCCACTTGCTTCACCAGAGGCATTTAACAACACCAGCTCACCAAAGAGAAGGATAAACTTCATGGAAAAGGGGAGAGCTGAGCCCAGGGAGCTCCTTTGTCACAGACACAGGAATTGGCAGGGGTTGGGTTGCACAGGAAGCAGAAGGTAAATATGTCTGAATGCCTGTTTATAATATCTCTTGATGGGGGTTCTAATCCCCAGAGATGATGTTTTGGTGCAGCCAACTCTCGTGAATGTTGTGGCTTTCTTAAAGGCACAGCTCCTGGAATGTTCCACACCTCCCTGTGGAAGCAGGCTCGAGGTGTGACCCTGCACAACATACTAGAAAAGTTGCATGGAAAGAATTTCTACACCTCCCTTTCCTTCCAGCTCTTCCAGTCCTGAAATTTGGGCGAGACAGGGCTGGGGCTCCACGAGCAAACCACAGGAGCATCCAGGAGGTGAAACTGGTCATGAAACAGCACAATTCAGTTTTCACCTCTGAGGAAACGGGGCTTGGCAGAGCCAAACGGGCCAGTTTGGGCATCATTCCACTCCCCCTATGGCATCAAAATGGTCAAGAGTCTGTCCAGCTCAGGGAAGAAATAAAAATACGTATTTTCTAGAAACCTCTAAGAACAAGTTCACACCAAGTGCCAAAACAGAGTTTATGGAGCTGAAGAAACAGAACTGCTGGTGTCCAACAAGCAAACCTCTCCACTTCCACCAGTTCAGGAGCACAGGCACCCAGATGCCCAGTTATTCCCAGCACTAATTATCAGGAAGGACATTTTAAACTCAAGGCCTGCCCCTGCAGGGAACACCTGAGTTAAAACAGTAGGAAAACAGGATCCTCAGTGTCCATACCCACCACAAACATGAACACAGTGTAGAAGATGAGAGCCATGGCACTGAAGGACTGGATGGAGGCCATCATGTTCCTCTGGAGGCTCAGGGGGAGGACGATGCACAGGGAGACAGCGAAGAGCAGGACTATCCGGAAACTGCCCGACACCTGGAAAAGGGACCTGCATAAAGACCTGGAGCAGGGAAGACACCCAAAACATCCACCAAACGAGCAAACCCTGACAGGGTTCATTTTCCCAGAGTGAGAAACAGCTATAAAGTGTGAAATTCTGTGACTGCAGGTGTTTAAAGATCCGATGCTGCAAAGTCAACGTTCCTTGGGCTCCATCTGTGATGAGCTGAGACAGTCACTGGGTGCCACTGTTGCTCTGCAGTGTGTGACAGGTCCAAGGCAGAAGAATTTGGGGGGTTGGAGGGGGGTTAAATGCTAATCCAGCACAAGTTATTTAGGTATTTTCATGCAATTAAATAAAAACTAAACTTACTCGGGGAAACGAGAGATTGAAGTCTTGGAAACTCTGATCCAGAAAATTAATCAAAGCCTCACACTGGTATTTATTAAAGCAGAACACTTGGAAATATTTAATACCTAATTTGGCTGTGGCCTCAACACATCCTTTCTAACTTCACAGCCCCTTAATCTGAGCTTAGGAGCATCAGGCAGCGCAGATAACAGTTCCACCAAAAACCCTTTTGCTTCCCAAATGTCCTTTTGCTTCCCTGCACGGCTCTTGTACCAGCTTCCAGCCGTGCCCATGAGGAGCACCTCTTGCCTCTGAGCATCCTGAGCCAGCACCAGGCTCATCACACGGCTGAGGAGGCAGGAACACAATGACTTTGGCCACCAAAACAGCCAGGGACAGGACAAAAACCCCTCCTGAACTGAGAGGGGAGAACTCAGGCAGAGGAATTGCCTGTCACTACCCACTGGGGCTGGAATTAAGGCAGGAAGCATCATCTCCCCAAGGAATCTGCTCCAGAATTAATAAGGGAACAAGTTAAAAAGAATTCCTTTGATGGAAATGCCTTATTGGAGTTTTACAGCTGATTGTTCACCATATGTCTGGGCTTCCAGGACTTCCCAGAGCCGAAGGCTCCGTGCTCCAGGCATCCCGCAAAGCTCTCCATGAGGGGACCCCAGTGGAGTGCTGAGCACACTCCAAGGCAGGAGCTGTGCTGTATCCAAGGAACACACAGCTCAGTGGAAGATCTGGGAGCACTGTGTGCATGGTAGGTGGGATTAATTCACCTGGAATCCAAGCAGCCGTGCAAAGAAGTTGGAGCCCAAGTCGCCGATGACGACGTAGAAAGCGATGCAGGTGCCCAACATCAGCCCAATCATGCTGCAAACAGAAACAGGGACAGGTTAGGAGGACCTTGGGAAGGGCAGGACAACCCTTCTGCACTCAATCCCAGCAAAACAACCATCAGAGAACCCCCATCCACACTAATTGCCTTGGAGATGTAACTCTGCTAACCGACCATGCACTGGTTTAACTGCTGTTTGGAGCCATGGGTAAAAAAAACAAACTCCAAAAACCAATCTTGGAGATGGCAAGAACTCCTTCAGTTCCTGGAAAAACCTCTAAAATAATCAGCACGAGGTTCTTGGAGCCCACACCCCACAGCAGAGCCGTGCCATGAATCTCAATATCCAGTGGGCTCTCCAATGTCTCTCCACACAATGGACCAAACTTTAATGAAAAGATTGTCCATGAACTGCTTCTCCTCCCACTCTTGGAACACTTTCCTTCCCAGTTCCAATTATAGAACATCCCCGTGGCAATTACAGCCACTGCTTGCACGGACAAGTAACATCTGAGGAATATTCTGTGTATTTTTAGTGCTGTGCAGCAGTTTGCAGCTGGGGTGAGGGAAGGAGCCACCACCACTGCCTGGCCTGGGCTCAAGATGCCTGGAAAAGAATCCCTGCTGGAAAAAGCAGGGCTGTGAGGATGTCCCATCACCTGAGATCTGCAGGGAGCTTCTACTGTACTGGGGTCATGGGAGGAAGCAGAGTCCGTCCCAAAATGAAGACAGGATTCTCCCTCCCTCAAGGCATCTCACAGCAGGGATGAGCAGGACCAGAGCAGATCCATGGATCCAGGGAACCAAACGCTCCCCCTCCCACTCATTCACAGCACTCTCAACAGGGATGTCACCCCTGGAGAACAGCCACAAGTGACATGCCTGGGATTTCACAGCAGAGCAGGAGATGAGCTCTCTCCCACCTTCTGTGCTCCCACTGCTCCCGGCTCCGCCTGGGAACGGGCGGGATACGCTGGAGGTGACACCTGTGAGCTGGGCTTAGGGATCTCACTCAGGCTCCTGCCACATTCCAGGAGGCAGGAGGGCTGTGGGGACCAGAGGAGGCAGGAGGGGAAGGAAGGAGGACAAGGCTCAGAGCAGGAGTTTTCCCCAAAGAAATCCAAACTGTTCACGCTTTGAACAAGCAGCAGATTTACCTTGTTTCCACCAACATTTTTCCTGCTTTTCCATAGGCATGAAATGCTGGCATAAAACAGAAAAAAAAGTGGAAGTTAGTCAAAGAAAGGTTCAGAATAGGGCAGAGGCCAGTTCAAAGTTGCACACTACCAGTGACACAGGGCAGTGCAGCAGGGCCCCACTGCTGGTGTTTGGGGGCTGTTTGCCTCACCCTCCCACTTTCTTTTTCAGCCATTCCCTCTGGGAACTGAAAACCACATAAGACAGGAACAAAGATGAGGAAAAGCCAGCGAGCAGGTTCTTTTTTTTTCTATTTAAAACCAGAAGTGGTGTGAAGCAGCAGCCACACATGGCAGCCATTAAAGGCAATGGGAGAGAAAATATTCCTGTACAAGATTCTGTGTGGCAAAAGTTGAAGTGGAGCAGAATTCCAATCCAACTCCCCTCTTTATTTTTATCTTCCCCCTCGAACTGGGCCGCCTGACATGGCTGGCTGGGAGAGCTGAGCTGGTGCCCAGAACGTTCAATCCCATTCCCAGAATACCCAGTGCTCCCAACCCACACCAAAGGGCCGCTGCCAAGGCTTTGCTTTTCCCCCCCTCCCATCCTTGGGCTGGAGCAGAAAATGCTCAGTAGTCCTTAAATCATTGGGTTTTCTCTCAAAAAAAACAATGCCAAGAAAACTCCACTTCTATTTTTAGACCCTACTGGGCAGAATGGGAACGGAGAGCTCCAAACCCAGACCACAGTGCCCAAATCTGTCCAGCATGAACCCACCACCCCGGAGTCCCCTCTGCCTTCCCTCAAGGCACAGCCCAACATTCCTGGAACCCGCCAGCACACAAACTCGGATCCTTTCTGGAAGCTTCTTCTGCTATTTTAAATATTAACTTCAACTCCTGATTCCCTTGGACTCTGCTTTGAGCTAAAAATTCAGGAAACGAGATGTTCTCCCACAAAATGAGCAAAAGGCACGGCAGGGACCCACAGCCCGGAGCGGGGACGTGGGGGAGCACCCGAAATAGCTGCTGGCTCGGTGCCAGGGTGGTGGGACAGCCGCCACCAGGCACAGCGCCCGGGCACCGGGAACGGCCATCCCGGCCTCCTCCGGGAACCCACAGCCATGGGGGAAAAGGCAACAGCCCTGGGGGGGCCAGTCCCACACAGAGAGGGCCTGGGAGGAGGGAGAGGAGTGAGTAAGAGGAAAATATCCCTCCTGGAGATGGGTATTAACAGGCTGAGCTCCAGGAGGATCCAACGGCGCTCCATCCTTCTGGCACACACAGCCAGGTGCCCCTGGGTATGGACACAGCCACTGGTGGGGCTGGAACCAGCCCATCTCCTCGACTGTTTGGAATTGATGTTCAATGAGAACATGCCTCCTAACACTACACCTGATGTCCCCACCTGGGGACACTGGAAAAATTGGATCCTTTATCTTCTCCTGGAGGTGACGACTGTAAAAGAAATGGTACAGTGGAATCCTTGGAATGGGACCACTCGATGCCCAGGCTGGGCAGAGCTGAGCCTGCTCAGGAATCAGAGAAGCCTTTTAAACCCAAGGTGGTTCCTGGGATGGAGCTTCAGAGGCTCCCCTGTGGAGCTGAGCTGCCCCAGGGCCAGCACAGCCCCTGCACAGCCAGAAGGGAGGGATTCACCCATCTCCTGGTTAAAATCCATCTGGGAACTGCATCCTGCTTCCCTCCT